ATATATAAAAGTTTTTAGAATGTTCATGAAAACCATTCAAATCCATAAAAATTTTAATTTTTCGCATGCTTGCTCATCATTTCCATAAAAAAAACAACTTCCACTTAAGTATATACACATATATTTTTTGATGACAAAGGAAGAGCTAATAATTAAGAATTTGCTAATAATTAAGAATGCTAACATTTAAAAATAATTTAAATTGAATAAAAAAAGATTCTAAATGTTAAGAAAATTGTAAATACTATTTATATAATTTGTAAAGCACTCATAATATCTGAATGTAAAAAGTATTATTTATATTTTTATCTGAAATGAACAAGTAATTTGGTTAGTTAAAGTAAATTTTTCTATCTTTTTTTATGTAGATACAGTCTTATAGGTACATATAAATGTATTCATATAATTGTTAGCGAATTCTATTTTTTCGTTTTTACAATAAATATTTGTTCGAGAAATGCAAACGGATCCGGAACACCGATTTCCCTTGCCGGTCGAATGATCATCCTGGGCCAGAGATCAGATGGTTATTCTCACCTGCCGGTAGGATCCCCCAGTTTGACGCGCTCCGACACACCTGGTGTTCCCGACTTTGACTTGGAAATACTTTGGTGGGGCCTCTTCAGCCTTGCCTCAGTGCATTATACACGCGGGCTTTCAGTTGTCACCGCGACATCGGTGAAGTCGCATTGTGTGTTACGTTTCTCGTTCAACCTACTGGTTGCACTGGAGAACGTTATTGTTATAGTAGTGGTGTGGATTTGACTCGCGAGAATATTCGTATCTAGCCAGAACGTGTCTTATTGTCAATGTGAAAATAGAAAGGACATATCTTGGAACCAAAACTGCATCAGCCTGAAATCTAATTTCGGTCTCATGTGGTACCACTTTTGTTCGGGAGCGATCGGTGCACATGTACGTCACTAATCAATTTTAATCTTTACGCGACGATAAATTTTGTAAAAATTAAATTTAATTTTTTAAAATTCTTTCATATGAGTCTTTGAAGATTTTGTTTCTTGAATTTATTTTAAAATAAAGTTGAAGTTATAATATTTTTATTATAATTATTATATAAAATTGATATAAAACATTCTTCGAAAGTAAATAAAAAATTGAACATAAAGTGTTTGATTTAAAAATATTTTACATTAAAGAAATTTTAATTTTTTTTTTTTTGGATTTTATCTAGATAAAATACGAAAAATTGAAAAAATATTTTAATATAATTTTATAAATGATAATTGAATGAGTGTATTTATTCCAAACTTAGAGATTACTCTTTGTGCATTATTATTAGTTAACACTATTTTAATTCAATGCTATTTTTATTAAAATGTTATTCTTTTTTGATAACGTTGTTTTATATCTTGAAACTAAACATTTTTGGAAATGTGACAGAATTTCAAAAATAGCGATAATATAATGGAAACAAGTGTCACACTGTACTGTACGCTTTATGTTATCATAATGTTACGGTATTATAATTGCAATACTTTATTCTTAATATTATATGGATTTATTGAGATAAAAAAATCACATTATATAAAAAATATGCAATTGAACTGCACATTATTAAACACATTATTAAAAAAAGAAGATACATATTTATATACAAAGACAGAAATATTAAAATATACTTATATAAAAAAATATATTTTAATAATTGCTATATATTTTTAATTTAAACTTGAAGAAGATTATAAATCTTATTTTATTTTTATTAACTCTTAATCAATTTCGAATGTTTTGATACATTTGATACTTTTTTGGATAATTAATGTACAATGTGACATTTTTGTTCGTAAACATGATTACGTG